TAGTAGTAGAAGTAGAAGTAGTCGTAGTATTAGTCGTAGTAGTAGTAGTAGTAATAGTAGTAGTAGTAGTAGTAGTAGTAGTATCAGTAGTAGTAGTAGTAGTAGTAGTAGTAGTGTGAGTAGTAGCAGCAGCAGCAGCAGCAGCAGCAGCAGTAGTAGTAGTAGTCACAGTAGTAGTAGTTGCAGAAGTAGTAGAAGCAGTAGCAGTGGCAACAGTAGTACTATTCGTAGTAGTAGCCGTCGTAGTAGTAGAAGTAGTAGTATTAGTAGTAGTAGTAGTAGTAGCAGTAGCAGTAAACGAGATAGTAGAAGTAGTCGTAGTCGTAGTCGTAGTCACAGTGGTAGTCGTAGTGGTAGTCGTGGTCGTAGGTCGTAGGTCATAGTAGTAGTAGTAGGGGTAGTAGTAGTAGTCGTAGTAGTAGTAGTATTAGAAGTAGGAGTAGTGGTGGTAGTAGTAGTAGTGATGGTATTAGTCGTAGTCGTCGTTGTCGTCATCGTCGTCGTCGTAGTAGTAGTTGGAGTAGCACTCGTAGTCGTAGTCGTAGTAGTAGTAGTAGTACTAGTCGTAGTAGTAGTAGTAGTAGTAGTAGTAGTAGTAGTAGTAGTAGTAGTACTCGTAGTACTCGTAGCAGAAGTAGTGGCGCACGTAGTAGTAGTAGCAGTAGTAGTGGCAGTCATAGGAGATGTGGTTGTAGCCCTAGTAGTCGTAGTTGTAGTAGGAGCAGTAGTTGGTGTATGGGTAATCGTAGCCGTAGCAGCAGTAGTAGTAGTGGTATTCGTAGAAGTCGTAGTGATAGTAGTAGTAGTAGTAGCAGTAGTCGTAGTCGTAGTAGTAGTAGTAGCAGTAGTGGAAGTCGTAGTTTTCGTAGTAGTGGTAGTATTAGTAGTCGTAGTGGTATTGGTATTGGCAGTAGTAGTACTAGCAGTAGTAGTAGTAGTAGTAGTAGTAGTAGTAGTAGTAGTAGTAGTGGTGTTAGTAGTAGTCGTAGTCGTAGGCGCTGTAGTAGTTGTAGTGTTAGTAGTAGCAGTAGTAGTAGCAGTAGGAGTCGTAATACTAGTAGTAGTAGTAGTAGTAGTAGTAGTCGTCAAAGTCGTAGTAGTCGTAGAAGTAGTAGAAATAGTAGTAGTAGTAGTAGTAGTAGTAGTAGTAGTAGTAGTAGTAGTAGTAGTAGTAATTTTAGTAGTCGTAGTAGCAGTAGTAGTAGTAGTGGCAGTCGTAGTGGTAGTAGTCGTCGAAGTCGTAGTCCTGGTGGTAGTAGTCGTAGTAGTAGTAGTAGTAGCAGTAATAGAAGAAGTAGTAGTAGTAGTAGTAGTAGTAGTAGTCGTAGCAGTAGTAGTGGTGGTGGTGGTGGTGGTAGTACAAGTCGTAGTTGTTCTAGTAGTAGCAGTAGTAGCAGTAGTAGCAGTGGTAATCTTAGTAGTAGTAGTAGTAGTAGTGTTTGCAGATGTTGTTGTAGTGGTAGTCGGAGTAGTAGTGGTAGTAGTAGTATGAGTAGTATCAGTCGTGGTAGTAGTAGCAGTAGTAGTAGTAGTAGTCGTAGTAGTAGTAGTAGTAGTAGTAGTAGTAGTAGTCGTAGTAGTAGTAGTAGTATTGGAGGTAATAGTAGTAGTAGTCGTCGTAGTTGTAGTAGTAGTAGTAGTAGTAGTAGTAGTAGTAGTAGTAAACATTTTAGTAGTAATGTAGTAGTAGTAATAGTTCAGTAGGAGTAGTCGTCGTAGTAATCCTAGTAGTAGCCGTAGTAGTAGTAGTAGTAGTAGTCGTAGTAGTAGTAGTAGTAGTAGTAGTAGCACCAGTAGTCGTAGTAGTAGTAGTCGTAGAAGTAGTAGTAGTAGTAGTAGCAGCAGTAGTAGTAGTAGTAGTAGTAGTAGTCGCAAAAGTAGCAGTAGGAGTAGAAGAAGAAGTAGTAGCCGTAGTAGTAGTGGCCGTGGCCGTGGTAGTAGTAGTAAGAGTAGTAGTAGTAGTAGTAGTAGTCGTAGTAGTAGTAGTAGTAGTAGTAGTAGTAGTAGTAGTAGTAGTAGTAGTAGTAGTAGTAGTGGTAGTGGTAGTAGTAGTAGTAGTAGTAGTAGTAGTAGTAGTAGTCGTAGTCGTAGTCGTAGTCGTAGTAGTAGTAGTAGTAGTAGTAGTAGTAGTAGTAGTAGTAGTAGTAGTAGTAGTAGTAGTAGTAGTAGTAGTAGTGTAGTTGTAGTGTAGTAGTAGTAGTAGTAGTAGTAGTAGTAGTAGTAGTAGTAGTTGTAGTTGTAGTAGTAGTAGTAGTAGTAGTAGTAGTAGTAGTAGTGGTAGTAGTAGTAGTAGTGGTGGTGGTAGTAGTAGTAGTAGTAGTAGTAGTACTGGTCGTAGTAGCATTAGTCGTGATAGTCGTAATTATAGTCGCAGTAGTAATACCAGTGGTAGTAGTGGTGACACTCGTAGTCGTAGTCATATTCGTAGTCGGTGTGGGGAGGCGGCCTGGTGCCGACCCGAGAAGTCCATGCGGACCTCAGAAAATTTGTTGCCAGCGTCGCCCAGCCCGCATTTTGACCCCAGAAGCCCTGGAGCTCTCCCTCCCTCCCCCGGTTCCTTCCTCCCCTCCTTCTCCTCGTTTTTTCTTCCCTTCTCCTCACTCCTCCTCGCTCCTCCTTCCCCCCTCCTCCTCCAGGAGTGAGGCAGACCCGCCGTGTTGGCGACCCGCGTGCGAAAGGGGCAGCGCGCCTGCTGCCATACGTCAAAGGAGAGTAATTTTCACCCAGTCCTCAGGAGGACTGTACACTAATAGGGAGTTTTGCGTCCATGCCGCTTACGGTACCTCGGTGCGGGAGGCGGGGTGATGCGGCTGGTTGCATATCATCTTGCGTGCACGATCGGGGTGCGCTGGTCGCCTCCTCCCCCATGCCGGGCGCCCAGGAGTCCAGGGCCGCCTTGCGCTCTTGTGGCGGGGCCAGCGCAGCCGCGGCCGAGGTGGCAACTGAACTAAAGCCCCGGCAGTCAGCGCCGCCGCCCCCCCCAGTCGCGGAACGGGGCTCAGCGCTGACAGGGGTCAGCCAATCCCCTCTGTCTGACTCGGGTTCGGGAGCCACGTGGCGAGTTCCAGAAAGGGCCTCGCCTTCGAGAGTCGACGGGGTTGGCATCTTCTCCCTGGCGGAAGGTGGCGGAAAGCGGCGGAAGTAAAACAAGGCCCCTCCGCTGGCGGAAGCCGGCGGAATGCTGACGGAAGCCAGCGGAAGTACAAAATGCCTCCTCCCCCCCAAGAGATGGCAAGGTTTCTGGGCTCAGGGTTTCGGGGCCCCGCCAAGTGGGTTCGATTCCCTTTGCCCTCCGCTGACCCGGGTTTGGGAGCTGCTTCGTGGCAGGCCTGGGTTCGTGACGTGGCCCTGGCTGACCCGGGTTTGCGCTGACCCTGTTTAGTGCGTCCCCGACCCCGCAACGTTGCTACTAGACCGTGACCTCCCCACGTTCTCCCTGAAGACGAGGGGTGGTGATGGTCCTGGATGTTTTTTGTTGCCGCTCAGGGCTCTCGGGGCTCTTCCTAGGTCCTGGGGCCTTGACCTATCTAATGGCCGTCCCGCCACCGTGCCTGGGTTGTGGGTTTGAATTTTCAGGGATGCTTCTTCGGGTCTCTTCGGAGCGCTGCTCTCGGGGGATTCACGGAGCAGTTAAGAGGACTCTTGTGAGCCCCTTGGGGGTCTCTTGGGGGCCTCTTTGGGTCTCTTTTGGGGCCTCCTGGCTTGAGGCCTCTTGGAAGCCTCTTGGGGGCTCTTGGGGACTCCTTGGGGGTCCTCGGGGCCGAGGGCCCGAAACGTCCGTTCGGCGGATCCCCCATCTGGCCCCCCCCCGTCTTTGGGCCCTCTTGGGCGCCTCTTGGGCCGTTTTGGGGCCCTCTTGGGCCGTCTTGGGGTCATCCGAAAAGGCGAGAACGCCAACATCCTCCAAGTAACCTCGGAAATATCAATGTGTTTTATTTTCGGGGCCCTCTCGGGAGGCCTTTTGGAGGCCTCTTTGGGCGTCTTGGAGGCTTCTGGATCCGTCTTGGGGATATCTTGGGCGTCTTGAGTCGATCGTTGGGCGTCTCGGGGCCCTCGTGGCTCGTCTTGAGGGCTTCTTGAGGATCCCTTGGCCCGTCTTGAGATCCTCCTGGGTCCGAAAAGTCGCGCGAAAAGCCGCGACGGGCCCTGGAGTCTTCGCATTTTCGGGTCTGGGCCCCTTGCAGACTCCACAGAAATGAGCATTGAGGCTTAGAGGGTTGGGCCCGGTATCTGAGGACATGCCCACTCCGAGCCCGGCGGCACGGTGGCGGATGACGGGAAGCGCCTCCGGCAAGGCCCTGGCTCGAGCAATGTCGAGCGACACAGATTTGCCAGCGGGGTCGCAAACCCCCGCACAGCATGCAAGTGCGATGGCATTGTCACGATGTTTCGTCCTTTGCCTCCTGTCGCGAGCTGTCGCAGAGCTGAATACTACGCGCTGGAGGGCCGAGCGCTGGACGGCGGCACGACCGTCCTGGAGTCTCGAGAGGTTGCCGACAATGACCGACAGAGACGAGCCAGTGCACAGCATGTGGTGTTACCACCGAGCCTGCCGCACCATTCCCGCCAGAGGGCGAGAGTGGCATAAGGGCGACCTCTGCAAGGGCCAGGACGCAGTGGCAAAGCTATGCAGAATGGCGGCATTCAGCGGTGCTGTACCCGTCCAATTTTTTCTTCCTGCCCATTCCCGCTCATCACGGCGTGGCCTCATCAAGGTATGGTCAAACAAAGTCGAGACTATGCTGATGCCTGGCCAACGGGACGAAGCTCTTCGACACTCTGCTGCTGCGCAAGGGGACGTACTTGCCCTAAGGGGCATCATTTTCGGTCAGCTCCCCGTCGGGCAACAGTGTATGAGCGAATACTACATCATTACGACCTCTAACCGATCATCTCGCCATCTCGTGGACGGAGTGGCCAATGCAGCATCCAAGAAAATCTCACTACGTACTGTTATCAAAGATAGTCATCGAGTGCAGCTTGGGAGCTTGAACGGTCTCAGAATTACTAGTGGCCAACTCAGCGACCTGTATGCTCTTTGTGACCATGCCCTAGCTGACAAGCCCCAAGTCAGACCCCCATCAGCGGCCGCCGGCTTCAACCTGAGCAGCAACGTGCGACGGCCGCTGAGGGAGATGGCCAATCTGAGGTTGCAGCACGTGGACACCCACCGCTCGCGCGCCAGGGGCAATAAAGTATTGACGGATATGGAGAACAAGTGCAAGCTGAAGCTGGGCTACGACCGTTCCACCAAACCGCGCGACGCGGAGGGAAAGGCAGCACAGGCCAAGGCGGACGAGAAGGTAGCGGACTACTTCGGCCACCCCCAGGGCAAGAAGCCCAACGTGATGCTGCTTGCGGTACTCTACCACCTCCACGTGGCGCTGAAGGTGAACGCCGACCCCGTGGGGGCGGACATGGGCGTGGGCGACGTGGCGGCCGTGCAGGGGGCCGTGGAAGTTGCTGGTGCTGCTGGCGCCGTGGCTCTCCTGAAGAACTCGCTTCAGGCCATGCGCTGCTTCATGATTAAGTGCGTGGATGAGGTGAAGGCGGGCAATGTTCGTTGGATTGCATCGGCAGATCGTCATCGGAAGCTGATCGAGTTCAATGGCACGTTGAAGCAGGCGTTGAAGTGGCAGAAGAAAGTAGGCCTAGTGATCGATGACGGCTATGCCTCCCGCTCCGAGTGCGCTTGTTGTCGTGGGGCGGGCGCTCAGGGCAAAGCCAAAGGCAAAGGGCGAGAAGAAATGTGACTGAGTCGCATGATTGGGAGGCTCCCGCCGTGAGCCCCCTGAATTAGTGGCTTGGGCTATTGAGCTACAGTTTTGTTTTGGTGTGAAACACGATCAGTGCCGTTTTCTCGATTGTCGCCAGTCCAACGGTCAGAGGGCCGACGACTGACGTGCGAAGCTGCCCACCAGCGGGTGGGCGCCTCGTGCGTTGCGTCCGTGCACGCACACGCGCGCAGGCCTCCTTGTGCCCCTGCGCAATCTATACTCCTGCGCTGGCAACTGTGATGAAGTTTGGCGCATGTGGGAGTTCCCGAGGGGCTTGCTCTTGACGGTCGGGAAGACAGAAAGCGGCTGGGTCTTCCTGGCTGCGCTCGGCAAGCGCGCTCTGGTCTGCAGCCGCGTCGGCAGCGCATGCCGCGCTCTAGCCCAGCGCCGCGCCGCAGCCGCCTCGCGTGTCAAGTCCAGCCTCGGGTCCAATCGGGATCCGCGAACGACAGCTGGTGGGTGGCGAATGAGGTCGGGGCCCGACGCTTGTAAGATACGGTCCGCCTCCTTGTCACCATTGATGAGAACGCAATCGTAAGCTCCCTCCAGTCCCTCCTCAATGTGCGCCTCCGCGGTCGCCCAGCGGGCCTGGGGCGGCTGCGGGGCCGGGCCCCCCCGCCTCTGCGGCGCCAGGGATCGCGATGATCCAGAGTACCGGAGTTCTGGCAGATGTGTAGACCCCGCGTAGGACCACCTGGGGGGGAAGGCGTGCGGCCTGAGCCCAGGAGGAGTGGGCTGCTCGAGCCGCTTGCCCAGCCAATCAGCGGGGCCGTTGCCATCGCGGAAGCCCCCGCTGGCCACGCTGCATCCGAACCGCGTGGGGCGGGCGCGCTGCGCCCTGATCCGTGGGTTCCTCGTGCAGTGCTGCGGAGACAAACTTCGCGAAGTTGGCCGTGGCCGCGGATTTCCGCGTCTGTTGGCCATTGAAGACCGCCTTGGGCCTTGGGCGCGCCCGGGTAGATCCGCCTGGCGCCAGGATGCCGAACCGCCACGCGTCTCACCCGCGATGCGATCCGTCTCTGGCCTGTGGCCAAGCCAAGCTTGAAGTGGCAGGGGAGTCGCAACAGAGGAACCCGAATTGAAGGGGGCCGAAGTGCTTTTAAGTGCACGTCGAGGTGGGGGGCTGCCATGCGTCGGCGTGCAAACGTGGTCGGCTGATGCGCGGACGAACCGACCCGCCATGATTTTCCCGCGCGTTGAAAACTGGGCAGCGGTATCCACTTCGCCGCCATCAGGGCTAGGAACAGGCCTACGCGCACGGTCTCGGAGATGCTGAGCGGGCCCAGCCTTGCAGTCTGGGCGCGAAATTCCTGAAGCTAGAGACGATACAATGGAGCGTACAGTGGGAACTTATGCCAAGAAACACCCTGCTTGCCTCCAGGGTGCCTTGGGTTTCTTGGGTTTCGATGGTTTTGCAATGGAACGCATGACGTTCCCACGCCAAAAATCAATGGGCGTCCTGGGGTCTCAGGGGTGGGTTTCTTGTTGAATGTTTCTCGAGGCGCGGGCTCGGACAGGACCCCCGGGCATCGCTGCCCCGACGACGTCGTCGGGGGGCTTGGGGGCGCTCTGGCAGCAGGTGTAGTGGACAGACAACCAGGACATCGCAGCCGCGTGCGGCCCCTGCGAAGCCACGATGGAGGCCGCTTCCGCATCTGCCTCCGACTCTTGCGAGCGACGTGCAGGATCTCTCGGCCGCGGCAGCGGCTTCGCTCATCCGGCTCCATTGTTCGGGGGTGGACAGACCTCCTCCACTGACACGTCGATGAGCGAATTGGCCGTTTTCGGTTTGCGAGAGGGCGTCGCGGCCGTCTTTTTTGCGGGCCCAGGTCCGTCGGTTTCGGTCCCGGGCCGTTTTCATTAAATGGTGGCCGTCGAAATGGAGGTTTGTCCACCGCCGAATTGCGTCGAGGACATTGCAGACAGGCCGATAACGACGGATGGCAATGCGCTCGTAGTAGGAGGCCCCCGCCCCGCATGGCAGCCAGAGCATAGGCAGCGTCGTGCAGGGCCCGAGACTGCGGCGAAGCCGTCGGCCCAGGTCGATGTCCAGGGTGCCCAACGGGGGCCCATGAGCGCGCGCGCGCTCGGCCACGCAAACCTGCGAGGGGGCCGCGCCCGAGCGCGGCTTTGCCCACGTGCGCCCCTGAGTGGCTTG